GTTCTGCTGCTCATCGATGACTGTAATTCCTGTATTTTGTTTTGTAGTATGACTTGGACAAGTTGAAGCGTTAATTTACAGCTGGCGGGCAGTTTTCTCCCAGCCATCAGAGAGCGGTTTTCCAATGAATTCTATATTTCGAATTAAGAAGTGAAGAGTTAGCGGATATTGCTGCCAGTACCGCTGAAAGACCTTACGAAAACCTCAGGTGAGGGCTACTTTTTGATATCCCTTTCGTGTGAAGATTTGTCATTGTCTGTATTATTCAGTGAATGGTGTCGCGAATTTTCATTGCTTATCAAACAGACAGAGGGTGGAAAGATTACGGCATCAAATGTGGCGGAGTTAGTTATGTTTGCTTTACATTTGAGTTTAAGCCTGAGTGCAATGAGTAAGAGTTCGTTCATACTTTGCGTCAGCGTTCTCAGCGACTAGCCACGAAACCCTCAAAGCGCTGGCTTATGCTCAAAACGCTAGATCAATGCCTATAATTTCTTAGTCACTGCAAACGCTGGCATACGCTGGCGTACTGTCAAAATTTCTTACCTAAACCTGTACTTTCCTAGCGCTCAAAACCCTGACGCGGAGCATGAATGCGTTGTAAGTGCAACGAACTGTAACATAATTTTTCTTAAGTAAGCCTGGGCCTTCAAACGATGTGGTTGGTCCCGAATATTCGAGCCAAAAAGAAGATAATGATGTTGCGACGCGTGAGACTTTGAAGTAATCGGATTTTAGTTCTTGTTTATGTTTTACCTCGTGAGGTTTTGCATGATAATTATCTAACCATAAGATACTGAAAACTATCTACAGCAGTGTGGAGCTCAGAATTTTCATTCCGAAAAAAAACCTTGCAAGGCTATTAAGCGAAGAAGACTGACGAGTCTTTTGTCTCCTTGACTACTTTGTGAATCTTGGAAAATGCATGCAAAAGAGGGTGTCATCATCGATCTGCAGGGTTCGGAGATTCCCTTAAGTCGCGGGTCCTCCATTCGCTTACTCGAAAACTATGAACCGGCCTGTTTCCGAACTACCGGAAAATATAGGTGTCCTTCCATGAGCAAAACCGGGAAAAAAAACAGTTTTTATATGTCTCTTTGAACCTCGGTCATCTTGTATAAGAAAGTAGTGTGGGATAGTCCCGTTGATTTGGCTTTTTTTTCGTCAGCTGGAAACGGATCTTCCTAGCAGGGAGTTTATTCCACCAACTGAGGTGGGATACCTTCATAGTTTAAGAGGGCTATACTTGCGAAAAAGTACGTTGACAACCGGCTTCCATCTGTCTCGGTTACACGAAGATGTGTTCTGGTGCGACAGCTTGGCAGAGAATACCACAGCACGTCCACGTTTCAGTCGTAACACTGGAATCAGTCGGGGGTGTGTCAAGGGCGCGTGGGCTTTGGTACGACGCCAGCACCTACCCCACTCTCTTGTATGCCCTCAGCTGCAACGATTGATGAGAAACGGAAGAGGGCAGCGCTAAAACCTTTGCGCCGCTGACCCTCCCCGACTGATTTCAGTGGTAATGACTGTAAAACAATTGGCTCCCGTCCCTTGCGGATGCCACGCACATGGCGCCGCTGGCAACGCCACTTTCGAAGGTTTTTACATAGGTCTGTTGCTGCTAAATGAATGATACTCCTTTGTCAGAGTTCGATTAATGTTCATTAAATTTCTTTTGATGTAGGTTATTTTACAGTGAAAATAGGCCACGAGCGGAAGTGAAAGTGGAAGCAGATGAAGTCTCAGTTTCAGAAAACTTCGATGATGGTTGCAGCTGTTTCTGTAAGTCTTATTACTATTGTGGCACTCCAACTTGATAGCGACATGCACTTATGCTAGTTGCTGTTAAATTACCCGTCACACCTTGGTGAGCTCTCAAATCTTTTCAAGTCTGACGACGCTCCTGCTATTGCTCAGCTTTGCAGGAATTCGCAGAAGACAACAGAGGGAGGGGTCATAGGCAGCGTTCAATGGGTTCCCTCAAGGTGTCCCCACCAAGCCGAACTGCGCCCTCTTCTCATTTTCCATGCTAGTTGTTTTCGTAACATGACAAGGCCTGCTGTGGGGATTAGTCCAACGAGGTGAGGCATTTCAGTGCAGAGATCGAAAACGTTTGGCATCACGAAAAACATGTTCTTTCATTATGAGAAAATGCGCGAAGAAACGATGGTGAGCTAAGCGAATTACTGTTGCCCAACTCCGGGGGAGGGGGAGAGGGGGGGGGGTGGTGGAAAATAAGACAGCGTTCAGACTTCGCGATGGCAGCGCTTCGGTCGCGCATTCGATGCGATGAGTCGAGTGCATGCGCATCGATCGCGCCGAACGCGTGACCGAGGCGCTGCTGTCGCGAAGTCTGAACGCTTAGTAGCTGGAGATGAATTCGCAGCAAACCACGAATCGACCTTTAAGAAGTTTCGTAGATATAGATCTTTTTTTTGCTTTGAAAATATTGTTTTTACAGTTGAGATATCCCAGGAAATATCTATTGATTATTCACTGGTGTATTGAATCAAAATGCAGTAAATACATTATGACTATCCAAACAGGCGATTTCTCGGCTTATTTTTTCCACTTTTTTTCTTTTTTTCGTTACTGTATGTAGCCTCCAATTACTCCATATCTCGGAGATGGGGAGGGCGTAGCCTCATATCCCGGTGGGACATGCGAGGTGCGTTTTTTTGGTCGACTGTTGTCACTCTAGACAACTGTTGTTGTCTTGGGCTGCAAGGACATAATTACAGGTGTCCTAAACGGTAAATCCTTCTAAAGGCGCAGTCGCCGCCACGTTTGGGTGAAGAATGCAGC